ATGTCACCCTTAATCCTCCAATCCATCTTCATCTGATGAAGACCAACTGGGCACCAAGGAACCTTTCTCCTGTAGGAAGTTAGCACCCACCCTTCTCCTAGGAAAATGAAATATTTTAGCAAATATTAAAAGGGCAGAATATTTTCCCCTAAAAGGGAGGCAGAAAAATCAGGGCCCCCCCACACCTTTATCAATGGGGCATTAAGGCCTGAGCCAGTCTATTCTACATAACAAAGATCAACCTCCTTCAGGCAGAGCCATAGTAGGAATTGCCCAAAGCCTTTTCATTACTTCATCACCCAGCAAGAGTCAACCAAGCCTGCGACTCAGGACAGCCTACTGCATGGCCCCTGACAACCAATCAGAATACAAGCTCTAATTCAAAAGCCCAAGAGAGGGCATAAAACCAGGGCACGCTCAGCATCTCTTCCTCTCCCCCCCCCCAAGGATCTCAAACCATGCGATCCTGTCCATCATCAATAAACCTTCTTTCCAAGCAACTTCTCCAAGCCTCCAGATGCACCTCAACCTATTACATCTATGACGCCACCTGGATGGCCTTCCACACCTGATGCGACAGTCACGGTACTGTCCCGACCTCGGCGTCGGTCCCGGCGATCTTGGATTTCCTCCAGTAAGGACTGGACTCTGGGCTTTCCATCAACACCCTAAAAAGGCAAGTGGCGGTTCTCATATCTCCATCATTGGAGACCCTCTCTCACCATCCTTTAGTGACTCGATTTCTCAGTGGAGCGGCCAACATCAGCCCTCCCGTGGTGCAGAGATTCCCCACTTGGGACCTGGCAGAGTTCTGGACGCTCTCACTAAATCCCCCTTGGAACCGCTTCACACCAGCTGCATGAGGCATCTGTCCCTCAAGGTTGCCTTTTTGGTGGCAATTACCTCTGCGCGACGCATCTTGGAAATTGCACCCTGTCCACTAGACGAGTCCTTTGTATTTTCCATGAGGACAGGGCGGTGCTTCGTCTTGACCCAGCTTTCATCCCGAAGGTCAAGAACAGATTTCACGTGGCCCAGGAGATCGTCCTCCTCCATTGTTGTCCTTCCCCTGCACACGGACTTGAGCGCCAATGGCACAAGCTGGACGGGCGCCGCGCCCTCCACATCTACCTCTCTAGAACTGCTTCCTTTCAGCGCTCGGAGGCCTTGTTTGTTTCTTTTCATCAAACTAACATGGGTGCCAAAGACTCTTCCAGGTCTGCCAGATGTTGGATCAGGTCCTGCCTCCCCCTCCACACGTGACAGCGCATTCAACATGAAGCATGGCCACCTTGACAGCGTGGTCTGCACAAGCTTCCATCGAGGAAATCTGCAAGGTGGCCACATGGTCTTCACCATCTCTATTTGTAAACCATTACAGATATGCGTCATCAGACGCTGCCTTTGGCAGGAAGGAACTCCAACAAGTCAGAAGTGGACAATCAGCCTCAGGCCAGTCATCCACCCACCCTTAACATTATGGACAAGCCTTGGTATGTCCGATTCTGGCTGCTGTCTCCACCAACTGGGGAGAATGGGCATTGGTCCTTACCTGATACACCCTTTCTCTGGGCGGTGGAGGCAGCAGCCAGCCCCATCTCTTAGCCGGTGTCTTTTCCTCTACTTGGAACTGAACCCATATGAACATTTCTTTCCGACACTACAACATCCACAGGGCCATCGTAATCCATAAAGACCATTGCTCATTCCTTACGGGTAGCTCACATCCCACAAAAGACCCCAGGTCCAGCTGTTGCATTCTTACTTCCTTGCTTAACTGAAAAAAGAAACCTCTCCTTTCTTTTCGACTTCCTTCCTTCCCATTTTTTTTTCTCAGGCAACAGAGAGTAACCCCATACAATAATTTCTGGCTATTCTCTCTCACAGATCAAGTGGGAGAACTGGAAAGGAAGGTGGGAGCCATGAGGTGAGAGAGGTTTGCATTTGTTTAAGCTGTGTTTCCCCCACCCCACCCCACCCCGGCCCAAAAACCTCTAGCAAATATTTCACCAAAACAGGTTTGCTTCTGGTAAAAAGCTCTTAAGCGAAAACAGGTGAGTGGAACAACAGCAATTCCAGGATGCTTAAAATAGGAGCTAAAAGAAATTCACATGTTCAGGTTGGCTTTACATAATGATACCTAGAGGGGGTAAGAAGCAGAAGATGGGATGAGGAAGTAGTAAAATTCTTACAGATGTAAAAGGAAGAGAAAGAACGTCGGTCTTACCTGAACGTGTCTTTTCAGGGGAAGAGAGGGAGTGGTCACGTGTGGGTATTCTCACAGCCTGATTGGTCCAAAGACTGAGAGTAAACTTCTTAAATACTCCTTCCTTCTACTCCTGCCCAGTTTCCTCGAAGTCAAACGATGGTACTGAAAATAAACACAACCAACAACAAACCCCCCGGGAACCACCTGACCTTCCCTTTGGCCAAAACTACCTAAGAAGGGCGGGTCGTGACCACTCCCTCTCTTCCCCTGAAAAGACACGTTCAGGTAAGACCAACATTCTTTTTCCAGTGGAAGAGAGGGAGTGGTCATGTATGGGACATACCCAAGCTGAGTCCCAGGGGGGGGAAAACAACAACTACGGCCCAAGGGGCATATCAACTGCCACCCTCTGTAGGACCCTCCGACCAAAGGAAGCATCCGCCGAGACGAACGCATCCAGACGATAATGACAGATGAAAGGCGTAGGAGACGCCCAGGTAGCCGCCCAACAAATGTCCTCAAAGGGAGCCCTAGTGGCCCAGGCCACCGGGGTCGCGGCACTCCTGGTGGAATGGGCCATTATTCCCGATGGGACAGGACGCCCCGCCGCCCCATAGGCCTCTACAATAGCCTGGCNCCAGGTCTGCCAGATGTTGGATCAGGTCCTGCCTCCCCCTCCACACGTGACAGCGCATTCAACATGAAGCATGGCCACCTTGACAGCGTGGTCTGCACAAGCTTCCATCGAGGAAATCTGCAAGGTGGCCACATGGTCTTCACCATCTCTATTTGTAAACCATTACAGATATGCGTCATCAGACGCTGCCTTTGGCAGGAAGGAACTCCAACAAGTCAGAAGTGGACAATCAGCCTCAGGCCAGTCATCCACCCACCCTTAACATTATGGACAAGCCTTGGTATGTCCGATTCTGGCTGCTGTCTCCACCAACTGGGGAGAATGGGCATTGGTCCTTACCTGATACACCCTTTCTCTGGGCGGTGGAGGCAGCAGCCAGCCCCATCTCTTAGCCGGTGTCTTTTCCTCTACTTGGAACTGAACCCATATGAACATTTCTTTCCGACACTACAACATCCACAGGGCCATCGTAATCCATAAAGACCATTGCTCATTCCTTACGGGTAGCTCACATCCCACAAAAGACCCCAGGTCCAGCTGTTGCATTCTTACTTCCTTGCTTAACTGAAAAAAGAAACCTCTCCTTTCTTTTCGACTTCCTTCCTTCCCATTTTTTTTTCTCAGGCAACAGAGAGTAACCCCATACAATAATTTCTGGCTATTCTCTCTCACAGATCAAGTGGGAGAACTGGAAAGGAAGGTGGGAGCCATGAGGTGAGAGAGGTTTGCATTTGTTTAAGCTGTGTTTCCCCCACCCCACCCCACCCCGGCCCAAAAACCTCTAGCAAATATTTCACCAAAACAGGTTTGCTTCTGGTAAAAAGCTCTTAAGCGAAAACAGGTGAGTGGAACAACAGCAATTCCAGGATGCTTAAAATAGGAGCTAAAAGAAATTCACATGTTCAGGTTGGCTTTACATAATGATACCTAGAGGGGGTAAGAAGCAGAAGATGGGATGAGGAAGTAGTAAAATTCTTACAGATGTAAAAGGAAGAGAAAGAACGTCGGTCTTACCTGAACGTGTCTTTTCAGGGGAAGAGAGGGAGTGGTCACGTGTGGGTATTCTCACAGCCTGATTGGTCCAAAGACTGAGAGTAAACTTCTTAAATACTCCTTCCTTCTACTCCTGCCCAGTTTCCTCGAAGTCAAACGATGGTACTGAAAATAAACACAACCAACAACAAACCCCCCGGGAACCACCTGACCTTCCCTTTGGCCAAAACTACCTAAGAAGGGCGGGTCGTGACCACTCCCTCTCTTCCCCTGAAAAGACACGTTCAGGTAAGACCAACATTCTTTTTCCAGTGGAAGAGAGGGAGTGGTCATGTATGGGACATACCCAAGCTGAGTCCCAGGGGGGGGAAAACAACAACTACGGCCCAAGGGGCATATCAACTGCCACCCTCTGTAGGACCCTCCGACCAAAGGAAGCATCCGCCGAGACGAACGCATCCAGACGATAATGACAGATGAAAGGCGTAGGAGACGCCCAGGTAGCCGCCCAACAAATGTCCTCAAAGGGAGCCCTAGTGGCCCAGGCCACCGGGGTCGCGGCACTCCTGGTGGAATGGGCCATTATTCCCGATGGGACAGGACGCCCCGCCGCCCCATAGGCCTCTACAATAGCCTGGCGTAGCCAAGGGCCGATGGTAGCCGAAGACACCCTGGCTCCCAATGTCCCAAGTTGGAACGAGACAAACAAAGCTCAGACCGGCGGACCCCCGCTGTCCACTGGAGATAAATTTGCAAAGCGCGATGGACATCCAAACGGTGCCAGAGCAGGGACGTGCAGTCAGGGGAGGCAGGGGCATCACCACTGTCATCCTGAAAAGAAAAAAATTAAAAGGAAAAAGGCTGAGGTAGTTNTTCCCGTGGAGATTCACATGGAGATTCGGACCCTCACCACCCTCCAGGCTTTCCGCAAAGCCCTTAAAACCTGGCTGTTCCGACAGGCCTGGGGCTGACGAGTTCCCCGCCCCCGCTCGAATGGTGTGGCTGTTGATTGTTTTTAAATTGTGGTATTGTTTTGTCCATGTCTTTTTTTCCTGTTTGTACCCCCCCCCCCAAACTTGGTTTGTGAGCTGCCCTGAGTCCCTCTGGGAATAGGGCGGCATAGAAATACAATAAAATCAAAATTGAAAATCGAAATTCCTGCTGCTTGATTCCTAAATCATCTCTGCCATTTTAAAAAGGACAAACCTTTACAGAAGCAAAAGCATGCAAAAATATTTCAGCTGTTAAATTCTTCAAGGAAACTAAGGATTAAAATTTTCTGAAAATGGGTTGCGGGTGTGGGGTGGGAGGATTGATTGGTCAGCCCCGCAATGCCAATACTGTTTGGCAGATCTCAATCATTTTAACATACACGAGTATCTTTTTGACCAGTGTTAACATGTAACTTCTGCAAGGTCCTACCCAGAACAGAATTAATGGTGGCCTTGCAAATAGCCTTTGGTAGTCAGTCCTCTATAACCTGATGACTTCCAAATGTGTTGGAAGGACATTTCCCAGAATTTGCAACCAATCTAGCCCATGATATGCAAGGTTAACCTATGCTATGGCCATCACTTACTGGCAAACTACAAGAGTCATACCCTGCTCTATCTCTGCAGACAGGATTCGGCCTCATCAGTGGAAATATAAAACTACTAAAGCTTTAACGGGAAGAGAGAGCAATTCTAAATCTTATTGCATCAGCTTTGTACCCCACTGGCATAAGCAAGTTAATCAGTAAATTACATTCAATTGCTTTCCTGCATTTAGTGGCAAATTCACAGCATTACCTTCTCGTAATATTGGATGTTTTTATCTGCCATTCCCATCAGCAGCTGCCTAAAATCTTGCCGCTTGTTGTTCTGCCATCTGTCCATGTCAGCCTTCAGGTCAGCATTGAAACACTCTACCCGGTCTTGACACTTTTCAACATCTGTGGGCATCTGAAAACCAAAAAGGAAGCAATGCTGTGGAAATAAGTTCTGAAAGCTTTTAAGACATCAAAAGATGCCTTCCACTGAGAAGAATCAGAAATACCTTCCAATTTCTCACAGGGAACTTAATTAATATCTGCTGCAGACTTACAGTCTACTACACAGGTGTCAAACTCACCACGTCACCTTGTCTTCATGTGATGTTTCATCACATTTTCCCCATTGATGGAGCTGGGGTGGGCGTGGTCTAAACGTGACACATCTGGCCCACAGGCCGCTAGTTTGACACCCCTGGTCTACTCTATCTGTATATATACTCAAATCATTATAGTGGTACTTCAATATTCAACTGCTTCAAAAGTCGTTGAATTTGGTACTCAACGTATTTTGAAAATGTTGTCCCAGTACTTGGCGTTTGTTTAGTATGCAACGTACTGTGATAGGAAGAGGGGGATGGCTGCAGAGAACAGACAGGAAGTCAGCCATCCTGGGAAGGTCACTACAAAAGGAAGCAGAGGATGGCCACAGAAGGTGGATAGGAAGTTGGCCATGCTGGGAAGGTCACTGACAGGGAAAAGGGACACACAGAAAGTTCTTCCCAGCCAAAACAAAGGGTCATGTGGTAAGTCACGTTTTTGGTTTGGGATTTGTCCTTTTTTAGTACTTGACACACCTTCTGAAACCAATTAACATGTACTGAGGTACCTCTGTACTTACCATGATAGCCAATTATATGATGGTCAAGTACAAAGTATAAATAAGAGCCGTATATATTAAGGATCTTTTGCTTTCTTAGCTATAGAAATATCAAGAAATTCTAAAGTTAAGGTACCAAACAAGGTATTGGCTTTTAACCAAGATTGAGTGATATAAATTTCTTAGCACAGTTCTAAAGTATACTTGGGTGAATATTGCTTTCAACATGAGATTGTTCAGAAAACAAAATGGAGTTACTACTGGATGTTGTCCTGAGAGAGATTTTCAAGCTATTGCATACAGAATTTGGTAAATTAAATCCAATGAAATTTATTCCCAAAACAAGCAATTAATAATCCTTCCACAAAATAGCACTGATTTTTAAAAAACCCTGTAGGTTCTTGGGCAAGAATGAATAGTGACAAAGCAAACTCAGAACACTTAACAAGAATAAACTGAAGGAGATGTGCTATTATGTCTAGAAATGAAACCAATAATTCCTCATTATTATTGTAATTTTTTGTGTTTTTAAATTGTTAGTGGGGAGTGATTGGTTGTGTGACTGCGTATGTCTGAGTAGGCTGGGACTTTACCTGGGTACCCCCTGCACTGAGTGCTCTGCAGAAGTGTCAGGGGGGCCTGGGCCTAATCCCAGCCTCAGGATGTCTGATTCGAAAGGCCTGCCGTAGAATGCGGGGACTATGAGGGTGGGTGGAGGGACCATGGACACGGGAGTGGGCCGGAGCATTACGGTCTTAACAGGGAGGGGCAGATATGGCGGGGACTTTAGGGCTAGCCATTACTGGGGAAGGAGGGCTCCCTATGTCACAGAGATCCCTCCATCCGGCCCTTCTAGTCCCACTCCAAGGCCAGATGGCATGAGTAATCAGGACCCTGGTCTCAGGCTGTTGTCG